CTACTACTACTACTACTACTACTACTACTACTACTACTACTACTACTACTACTACTACTACTACTACTACTACTACTACTACTACTACTACTACTACTACTACTACTACTACTACTACTACTACTACCACTACGGAGTGTACGGAGTACTCTAGTTAGTGGAAGGGTAACAAGGTCAGCAGCCCTAGACTAGACCAGTCCCAGCGTTGTTTAACTTACCGGACATGAGTTACTCAGTTCTTGTTGTATCTAGCATGCTGTAGGTCACCTTACCGGTTTAGGGAAGGTAAGAGAGGGGGGGGAAAAAGGAAAAAAAAAAAAAAAAAAAGGAAAAGGGAAAGGAAGAGGGTGTGGAAAGGGTGGAAAGTGTGGAAAGTGTAGGAAGTTCGGCCTTGGGAATAATACGTGCCTGCTAACTCCGTCGCGAGTCGCGACGAAAGCCCCATATCAGATCCAATAATAAGTAGGGTTTAGCGTCACATTGCAACCGTCATGGTGTGCCGTTCAGAACTTCAGATTTATTTCCCTTTTGGATACTGATTCTAAGTGGTCCGTCCTTCTTTGCTACGGAGTATACCGTCGTCCACAACAGAGTACGCCGTACACAAGTACGCATTCGAGACTCTCACTCTTCTGTGGAGAAAAGCCAAAAGTATGCAATAACTCAAGCAACCTCAGTAGACTTAAGAGACAACTATGTAATCGGACAACAATAAAAGACTAGACAAAATAATAATAATGCAACAGAAAAAAGAAAAGAAACCAGGAAAGATGATGACTTGCCCATACGTCCATCTATCCATCCATCCATTCATCCAATCCATCCATTCACCACGCACCTCAAGGGAGAAGGGGTGGGTGTGGCATTGCGCAGCAGTCCCGGGAGGCACGGGAGAAACTGGATGAAGGGAGGTTTGTGCACGCTGAATGTGGTTGATCGCCGGTTCTAGTTCAACCAGACGGAAGGCAAAGGAATGGGGACGGACGGACAAGTTCAGTGACGGAAAAGTACGGCACTTAGGGGGCTGGCGGGTGGGTGGAAAGGTGAGGAAGTGGTGAGGTGGGTGAGCTGGTCAAGCTGCAATGGGTAATCATGGTATTCATTATTACCATCGTTACGGACACTGGTTACAGGATCATGCCTTCCAGAGGATGCTTTGGGGCCATCGGCGGCCCTAAGTTCAAGCACGGCACTGCACCACTCCCTACTACTTACAGTAATTGACCTGAGGACGGGCAAAGAATTAGGCAAGAATTGAAGTACTCATGTACCGACTCAGCGACTAACTGACTACGTACCCGGGGGGAAAAAGGGAGACAGAGAGGAGGGAGAGGCGGGGGCATGGATGGAAATATGGATCGCTGCGTATGAAAGCTGTAAGAGGCCTTCAGTGGCACTCACACTCTCACATCTCAAACCACTTAGCTCTCTCGGTTCATGGTTGATTTACAGTTTTACCTAATTACCCTACTGCCTGCAGTTGAAGATGGAGTCATCACGGTCGCAGGGGAACACTGGGACAAGTTGTTCGGACTGTGGCAGTGGCCACACGGCCCAATCTGCGACATGGTTAGTCAGAGAGAGCCTCCGTCCGGGTCCAGTGCAAATTCCAAAATTAATCACCGAGCAGCGAAAATAAATAGGTATTCGGTATCTCTGTATTAATCATCTAGATAATTCTGGCACAGTCACTTTGGGTCGGGACGGTGGTTCACCTTTGGCTTAGTAGTACTCCGTAGTCGAGTTACTCATAGTAGGACTTCATTCGCGATGGCAAGGGTGCCGGTGGTCGGTAGTCAGGCTATGCAAGTAATGGATCACGGGCTAATTGGTAGTTGTCATGGGGAGAGAAGAGTCAAAGAGGTAAGGTATGGGAAGCCTGGAGGCGTTGTGTCAGGTATGGAACGGATCCGCAGAGCTCGTCCGGTGCGAAAAGAACCTTGGCGGTTGGACAGTTGTTATCCCTCTAACTGCAAGCGGTCAAGCGTCTCTCACTGCGAGAGGTAACAAACTTTCGCTGGTATCATTAATACTTCACACAAAGTACGGAGCACAGTGCCTCTCCTCCTCATCCTGCTGCCGGGCGGAGGTAACTTTGTACCCCCATGACCGCATACAGACAGACACGCAGGCAGCCCAGCGGACTGGTGGTTGAAAATGTCCGAAGCTGGTAGAGCTTCAAATGAGGCTAAGGAAATGGGGAGGGAAACGAGGAAAAAAATAAAAGGAAAGAAACGAAAAACTTTACTTATCGGCAACATCTTCATCTGGTTCTGATCCACCTTAGGGAGTAGTAATGAGGGTATTAACGGGCCAAGACAAGTGATGTGCGTATGTAGCCATGATGTAGCCATGTAAGGTATTTTGTGTATCTGACTGGGCTTGGTTCGAGGCCTCCGTGGTGTATGAGTATGGGTGTTGTGGATGGACAAGTGTGAATGGATAGTACAAAGGTGCATCCCCAGAGCGACCCGGACCCAGCAGCGAGGCGTAAACGAAACAATGAACCAATCACTCGACTGCCACTA